TTCCAATTTAAAGCCAGATTAAAAAGCAAGGTCTTTTATCTCATTTTTGAAAACGCCAAGAGACAATGCCATTTTGATATTTTGATATCTAAATCAGTGATTCTTTAAGTGGGGTCCCAGGACCCTCAGGGGTCCACGAACCATAGCTTGGGGGTCAGCACAATAATTTACAATCAATTGTAAATGATCATTCATTCATTCATATCATTAAAAAAGCATATCTACAAAGTGGGACCTCTTGCACCAATATAATCAACTATTTTGTCCAATACTCCCGCCCACTTTAGTTTTGTGCCATTAGATCAATTCTGATATAAACGTGACACGTCTGTCACTTCATAGTGTGCAACTATAAAAAAAAAATCAAAACGAAAAACTCCTGAGAGCCAACATTTTCTCAAAGTTTATAAAATGAATTACTTGGAAAGTATAAATGTAGCCTAATTTTATCGTTGCAAAGTCCTACATAATAATAATATAATGTATTATTACATAGTATTAATAGCTTATCAACGTTATGATATAAGGGGATCCTTGGAAAGATTTCTCACCTGAAAGGGGTCCATGGTCTAAAAAGTTTGAGAACCCCTGATCTAAATGTCAGTGAGTTCGAGAGTTTGGGGACATGACAATGAAAGGCTCTCTTATAGAAGCAGTTCTGGACCTTAGTGATCTGACTGGAACAAAAATATATATATAAAAGATCTCTGATTAATGGAGAAGCAGGGTCAAATTAAAGCTTTTTAAACAAGAAAGAAGTGTACATTTTAAATGATTTCTAAAAGAAGAGTACAGTGGGATGATGTAATCTTGTTTTATTAATCCTGATGAGTAACCTTTTTAGAAACAAGCAAATGTGTCGTGACATCTTCATGCTTCTCACGCCTTGTCCTAACTTTCTGTGATTCATTTTCTGGTTGGATAATTGAGTCATACCACAGTTTCAGGTCCGTCTGCTCTAATGGCACATGTGTCTCTGTGTGCGTGTGTCTTATTATGTGGCGAGAGGAGCCTGTGATAATAAATCCAGGCATCCTGTCGGGGTCGTGGACTGTCAGTCTGAGTGTGTGTCGGGGTCCTTCGGCTCGTGGGTTCTGTTCATCTTACAGATGAGAGGCCTCGACTTGTAAAACATGATGTGCCAGAAGGGAAGATCACAGCCGCTGAACTTCTCTTCCTGGGAATGTGTTCCGAGTTTGTACGCAAAAGAATGCTGTCACTCTGCATCAGGGTTTGCGTGATGGACAATCCGTGTGTGTGTGTGTGTGTGTGTGTGTGTGTGTGTGTGTGTGTGTGTGTGTGTGTCAGAGAGGCAGCACACACCTACGTCAGACACACCTCTGCTGCACACGTATATGTACTCTGTGCAGCAAGGAAGACGCCAGTGAGTCTGGGCTGCATTCAGGAGTTGGACTGTTTTTAGCATCATCCCTGTGCGTGCACAGGGACAGGCGCGGGGACGACTCATCCCTGCCCTATGACTGCAGGGCTCGCCTTTGTTCTTCTGCACTAACACAAACATAATGACAAGCCTTAAAGAGCCTGCACACCTTGCTTTCTCTCTCTCCCTCTGTGCACCTTTTGGATTTGCAAGTTTTTCACATTTCCATGGGTCTCAATCCTCTGCACCTTCAGCTCTTCAAGTGCCTCAGGGAGCCGCACATATGAGCCCGCAGGCATGCATTTGTGTCTTCAAAGCATCTTGTGTTTGTCTTCATTTGCACACCCTGATCAGTCAAATGTCAAAAAAGTGACTTTACGGTGATGTACAATTATAGACACAAAGTTTCTTACACCCCTCTAACACGTGCCTGAAATGCAACACCTGCTCACAGTAATGCTTCTCATCTCTGCAAATATTACTACTACAGTATTACCCCCCATTGATGTTCATGTCATTTACTGCAGCGTGAAGGAGCTGCGGTACCATTATTCCACCCTGATACGGATTATATTAGTGGGGGAACACTGATTGATGACATTTGACTTTACATTCAGCTAGCAACTATTGTTGTCTTTCTCTTTTCACAACATGAACATTTACCTTAAATCAGTTTGATTTAGTAGCTAATAAGTTATGGTATCTGATCAGTGCGTTGACTAGAACATTGGCAACACACTATTCCACACAGCTTCAGTAACAAAGGTTGTTGAACTCATGCTCATTACAAGATATATCAGCAAACACCTCTCTATCGCTGCAAACCACAATAACTGCATGAAAACTACAAATAATGCTGCCATACTTTATTCTTTATTTATATACTCTAAACTACTTTACACTAAAAAACAGAGATAATCATGCTTTACATTTCTAATAGCCATAAAAGAGGTGCTCAATACAATTTAGCATTGATTCTGAAAACTACTGAAACATACTGGACCATACAGAGTACCCGCCCCCCCTAATACTGGTATGATGAAGAAATATCACCCTAAAAAAAAACGAATTAATGACATTTTTCATCTTAAAATGAAATTACAATCCTCACTGACACTGTTTTTTTTTCCATTGTCACACAATATTTTACCTGAAATAAGTTGATTCTTTTGGGGCTTATACATTTTAGTATCTGTTCCATTATTTCTCATACATGATACCCCATTTTAGGCCAATATGGCAGCTGATACCTATATTGCTATTTCTATTGATACAACTCTATTAATTCAACACTTGTTCAAATTTCTCTGCCAAAAAACGTAATTTATTTCCTTCACCATACTGATACTGTGATTAGTTTAGGGGTCTGATCAATGCATTGGCTGAATCCTAATATTGCATTTTAGATATCAGTCAATATGCTAGCATTGGTATCAAAATAGCTAGTCCATAGCTACAGCCATAGAGGTTGCATTTCCCATTAATAACATGACCCCTAAATGCAACACCTGCTCAAATGATAGCAACAAGAATCGATCTGTTGTTGGATGCAAACTGCAAATGTTGCCTTCATAATCCCCAATCATTCTGAAATGTATTCCTAAAAGCTGCATTAGAAATGTTCATCACAAATTTCCAATACCAATACCATGAGTCTGGATCCCATACCAGTGCCATTAAAAACAAAACAAAAAGCATAATAATGTGGAAAACCCTGATTCATGTCTGTTTGGTAGCTTTAGCAAACATTAGCACGAACCACAGGGTTTCCTGAAACTTGTGACTTTTTGAGTTTAAAAACAGTATCATTTGGTATACTCGTAACTGAAACCACATTGAGGCAGAATTGGCAACCAATACCAGTGTCAGCATCAATACCAGTACGATTTTGATACCAGTATATCTATCTGCAATGATGCAAGCCCTCTTGATATATTGAGAGTTTACAGCTTTAAAGCCCTCATCATGTGTGAAGACAGAAAGCAGCCTCTCGGCTCAGCAGCCTTTTCTCTTTATTATTGTGATTCTATTTTACTATGATAATAATCTGTGGCCTCGTTCTGGCTGGCTGAGGCCTGTGGGGAGTCGGGAAGCACTCCAGCTCCCAGCAGGCCTTTAGTGTCGCTGCTTCTGTGTTCCCAGGCAGGCAGGCAGGGCAGGACATGACCAAAATGACGGGGTTGGACAGCAGCTCAGCACCACGCTCAACCCACCAAACACTCTGTTTATGATTTGACTGCAGCAGCCGACATGTGATCCAGCTGAGATAGAATCTGTGCGCGCTGTAACTCTGGTAGATTTCATTATAAGCTGTATATTCAATGTCCTCTTCCCACTTTGCATTTCTCTACCTGTGGGTTGACTCTGCCTTAGAGTGAGTCAACAGAGGCTGAATCCTGGAGACAGGGCTGTTCTTTGAGTTCTGTGGTTGCTGTTTTCTCCCCAACACCCACATTATGTCCACATACACCTTGTGGAGTTCTGCTGACTCTGCAGTCTACAATTAGATTCTCCCCCAACGAATAAACCCTGAATTTCAATCAGTAAAGATGAGGACGAAATTAATGTATTTTATTTCTAGGCTATCAAAATATATTATTAATCATAAAATTAAAAAAATGGAAATAATTTGTTGGATTTCTGCCTTCTTCGGAGAATATTTATCTTTATCTAGAAATGGTGTGAATCATAGCCTCCTATTTTAGAATTTATCCAACTGAATACCTGTATATCCTGAAGCACGTATCCTTCAAGAGGAGGAAGAAAATGTGTTTATATTAAATTGTGTGTCAACAACTATTTGTCTGTATAAAATCTGATTTATCTGCTAGAAATATTCTGATCATAATGTGAATGCTCTTCTGCAAAATAAAAGCAGCTGCTTTCCAAAAATCAGGTAATGCATTTTTTTTTTTAGATTTTCTAAAATTGAAGTTTAAAAAACTAATTGAGGAGCTTCAATATTTCAAAAGCCGACGCAACAACTGGAAATATTTTTTTATTACACAGCTTTAACAAGAGCATTATCAATTTAAAAATAATAATAATAACGGTAATCTCAGTTTTATTAATGTAAGAATTATGATGGAAAAAACAACACATTTCGTTTTATCTGATATCTTCACTCGTGCTACTAGAAGTTATGAACTTGATAAAGTCGGGTTATGCCCAGGCATTAATTGATGGCCTGCTTGTTAATTCCCTTCAAACGAGGACAACTTGCATTTTAATTTCTGTCGCATCCGGCTTGTTGTCATTTCTATTTAGTGTCTCCCTTAATTTTAAATTATTCGGTTATCGATTTTTGCTCATTTTCTATCCTAGATGAATCTACTGTACCCGCTATTAACAATAACTAGGCCTATGTGAACTATCCTCTTTAACACATTTTTATTTAGTGCTAAGAAAGATAACTGACTTTCTGAAAGAGACATACAGAAACATGTCTCTATATTTATCTCCTGATATTTTATTCAATGATTAACGGAAGGAGGTCCGTGCTGTCTGTATCATATGTTAATGAGTTTAATGGTGGAGCGCCAGTGACAGCTGGCTGCTGATGACCAATCAGAGCGCGCACAGACTGTAGGCAGTGTGTCGGAGGCTCCGCAGGCAGGAGGTGTTTGAAGCAGCATGTCAGCCCCTCCGATGATGTAAAGAAGATCATCTTTTTTTTATTTGATTCGATTTTTGCTTCCTAAACACTTGTGAAAAATGCACGCTTTGGCGATCTACAACGTGGAACTTTTTTTCTCGATCGAAGCCTTGGACTTCAGTGTGGATTTGTTCCAAGTTTTCCGACAGGACTGATGAAAGCCTCTTCAGAGCGACGCTTTATGGACTCGCACATTAGCTAATGATGGCTAAGGGTTTCAGGCCTGACTGTCGGAACGCCTCAGATCCCTTCAAATCGGCTTTTCTAGAGTTTAGCCCCGGACATCCGGCGCACCAGCAGCGCTCCCCCGGACTCTCCCATATCTACCCCTTGCCTGGCTTGCATGCTGCCGAGCATTCCCAGCATGAGAGTCCTTTTCCTGGCAGCGCGTCCTATGGCCGCTCTTTGGGCTACGCCTACCCCGGCTCGGTGAACGTTCACCCCTCGTCTTCTTACGTGCCCTACCAGTACAGCAATCACAGCAGAAGCCTGGACCACAGCAGGGCAGAGCATACAGGTATGGATCGATGTCATTTTAATCAAAGTGCAGTTATTGTAGCAACAAAGGTTGTACAATTCTAATGTGCCTTCACGCTGAAGCACAATTACGCACACGGGTGCGTAATCTCCAACATTTCCCCTGTATGAGAAGTCTCCAAAAAATAAAATAAAAAAGGAAAATGTCCATCATATAATAGTCTCATTTTATATAGTCTCATACAGTTTAGTTTACCAACTAAAGCACTAGACCTGTCATCCAAACAGCACCCTTCAGGGATGCCCCCTCCTTTAAGCCTGTGCTGTATAATGAAAGAAGATGGTGCCATTAATTTTTATTGACCATAATTTTTTTGTGGGTGAGTCCAATTATGGCCTGTGCAGCCTGAGCCTACCTCAGGAACTCCTTTTACCCTCATTGTTGGTGCACATTAACAAATTGATTCCGGTAAATAACAGGCTTTTTAGATTGTGGGAGTGTTTGATTCCCCTCTTTCAAATGAGTCCTTTATATTCACTGCAAAGAGAGCGTGGAGCAGATAACGGTCGGTGTGTAGATTACCATTGGATTTAATGCTATGCAAATCAACAACACATAGATTAAAGTTGAGCTAAACTGTAATAATTCATGTAAATTCAAATCGTTGATGCAGTTGGATTAAATATGGCTTTAAATAACTAACTTGCATGTTTTTGCTCTCAGGCCTGAAGGGACTTAAGAGTTTATAGCATGGGGTGCAGGGCCTGTCAGTTGCATTATGGGGCACTATATTTTCAGTTTTTACTTGTTTCTTAGACATGGGACTATTCAACAGACCTTTTGTGTTGTTCCAGATGCTATATTTGAATTGTTTTTTAGAAGCAGGAAGTCCGTCTGTACACGGCGTGTCATATTTAGTCTTCTAAACAAACTCTCGGTGATAAGTCTCCTTATTTCAATCTTTCTTCTCTGCAAGATCGCGAGAAGTCCCCTGAGATCGAGAGCAGGGACCTGCGTCTGATTGGCAAAGGGAGGAAGATCCGGAAGCCTCGGACCATCTACTCCAGTCTGCAGCTGCAGGCCCTGCACCAGCGCTTCCAACAGACCCAGTACCTGGCCTTACCGGAGCGCGCGGAGCTGGCGGCCAAGCTGGGACTCACGCAGACTCAGGTGGGCCTTCAGTTCACCCCGGAGCCCTGCAGGGACCATACAGATGTTTCAGATTCATGAGTTATAATAACCAAACATAAACGGAGGTCTAAAGGAGGTCTTACGTTTCAGGTTTCACTTTCATTCATTAAAAATCGTCGGGCCTAATATCAGACCTGCAGGCGGCTTATTAGATAAAACAACAAAGCCTATAATTAATATTTTAAACTCTTTACTTAATCTTTTTGAAAGCAGCCTGAATCAAAATATCAGTGAAAGAAAGCAGATGTTAAAGGAAACATCGTCTCTGCTGCATTATTAAGGATCACTGCGCATCTGGAGATCAAATGAAAAAGCAAATTGTTGTGATTTGTAACTGGATCCTTTAATGCTCGTCTTATTTACTGTGCTTAGTGATCGTGGCTGAATTTCCTTTGTCATCCGCGGTCCTCTAAATGCTCTTAAGTGGATGAAGAAAATCCCGCAGTTACGTATTATGCAAACGCCTACAATCGTTTTGAAATGAAGAAATGTGTCTCATTTTGTTTATTCAGTTTGTTCATTCGTTTTTGGTTCGTGTTCTATTCCGCATTTTAAGAGCTCATTAACGCAAAATAAAAATAAAACAGGTAATATTAATGCGTCTTTACGATCAGTTTATTTAATGAAATGCTCCACAACGCTGAAATATGAAAATGGGGCTTATCACAATAGCTCCTCGTGGATGTGTGGGCATATTTTGGAGACAGAAAAAGTTGCAGGCGTCGCAGACAACTCATCCTAACTCTCATAAAGGTAAAAGTGTCCTCTCTTTCTGAACGAGGTTTTTAAACAAGTGCTTCCACCCTGTCATCCGAGCTGCCTCTCGCCTGTTTTTTCTTAATCCCTCAACAATCATCTACCACTTCTATTCCACCCTTAGTTGCTGCTGTGTATAGGGTGACTCATTGAGGCATTTTTGGTACAGTTTCTACATATTCTCACCATTGTTCTGGTCTAAAAATAGACGTATTAATGTGGAATCAACAGATCATTTCAGTGACCTACCACAGCGCGCTTTTGGCCTGTTTTCACTTCACAGTCTGGTTGGATTTTCGGCCCTGCTGCTGTCATGATGCACCGTTGGACTCTTAAAACAGCGAACAATAAAAGAGCTCAGTTTAAATGCAGAGCAAGTGCGACTCGTGCACACGGCTGAGTGGAGATCAATGCGCCAGCAGTAAACCCGGGATTCACAAACACAACAGAGAGAAGACGGAGAGATTATTGTTCCCAAATGTTCGCTCCAGACCAATTGTGAAGTGTTTGACTTTAATTGTGCTTAATGTGCTCATAAAAATGTCTCCACGCCATAAATTATTTTTTATGTCTTCTGAATGGAAACCACAGTGACACTTTGCTGCATGTTCTCTTCTTTAGGTGAAAATCTGGTTTCAGAATAAGCGCTCCAAGTACAAAAAGATCATGAAACATGGCAGCGGATCAGAAGGGGAACATCTCCACAGCACGAGCTCCATCTCCCCCTGCTCCCCCGGCCTCCCCCAGCTGTGGGAGGTTTCCAAAGGAGCCCAAATGCATTCAAATAACTACATGAACACTTTTGGTCACTGGTATCCAAACCACCATCCTCAACAGGACGCGATGCCCAGGCCTCAGATGATGTGAGTGGGTTGTTTGTTGGTGTGCAGGCCGAGGTGTTTGTGCCTGTGTGCAAGTCAACTTGAGCCTTTTCTCAGAACTGTTAAAAAAAAGTGTGTGAAATACAACTTTGATGTGTTTCGTGTGCGTTTTGGGGTTCAGTGACAAAGCTGAACTCGAGCAGACATGAAATGTGTTGTATTCGTTTTGTTCAGATGCCACTGCCGCACGTGGACTCAGCTTGTGCAAAAGAGACTCAGGATCAAGACATATGTTGATCAAGTGGATGTACTTGATTACTTTTGGCCTTTATGTTTCAGGAATGCTCTGAGCATTACGCAAATAAATATTTGGATATTGAAACATTTCGTGTGAGTTGTTTTCTCTTTTCAGCGAGAGAGAGAGAGAGAGAGAGAGACTACATGATTATTGAGATGAATATCTTACTTCCCTGATTTAATGGGTTAAAAAGGGTGCCTCAAGACGAGTTAATTTGTGCAGTTTTAATAATCGCGTGATAACTCTTTGCCGTGACGTCAGCTGTCTTTTGTCCATCAGCACTCCCTCGCTGCAGAGAAAACCTGCAGAGCTCCTTTGATTTCAACTGTCATGTTTCGTCCCAACACTTGTGAATCATTTTCTATTTTTAGAAAAGCAAATCCCATCGACCGCTGGTATATAAGTTTACTTTGAATTTGATTTAATTTAAAAACCTAAAGAATAACCCTTGAAGTGCTGAGAAGCCGTTCCCAGGATGGTGTGCCAACGTGGTGTTTGGTGCCAGCTTTACGCACGGTGGTTGTGCCAAACTTAACTGTGACGCACGGTTAGAAAGTCTGTGACGACAAACGCCTTCCAGATACTTTAAAATTAAAACACTATGATATCTAAAACAGATCTGGGCACTATTTTATTATTACTCCCAAAAGATGATCTTTGAAAATTAAGTATTTCCCGCCGTCTTTGAAGGAGGGTGTGAGGCAACATCCGTGTGGATAAATAACTTGCGAAGGCAGCAGAGATGACATGCACGGCAGCATTTCAAAGATACTTTTCCTCCTCCTCACGTGCTCCAACAGAAACTCTCCGTTGTCACAACAAAATGACAAATAGTGTTGCTGCTCCCTCCAATAAACCGCGCCTGATTTATAGAGGATTGGACTGACTTCCACAGAGGGCGCTTCCACTGTTTAAACACTTACAATTGGTTATTTAGATCTTTGAACAGCACCGGAGTTTTGGATTCATCACTCGGCTGTGTTGACTGTCTGACACAAACACACAGGGATTAGAGAATCAACTAACAATGTTTACATGTTGATTAACCGGAAGTGTTTAGACATTACAATCCTTATAGATAAGTACACATGTTAAATACTTTATATGTAAGGTGTGGACCTGATATTTGATTTCAAATAGTTTCTAACTGTATCTAAAAAATACCCTCAATATAACTGAAGTGACGCAATGCTACAGCAGACATTAGGAGAATCGCCCTCCTCTCAGAAACCTTCAAATGAAGCTCATGTCGTGTCATGAGGTGGATTTTTAACCCCCCAGAGTTTACAGCTTTATTCCATCCCATATTAACTAGAAACACCATTGAACATAATAAAAACATACAAATTGGTAAAATGATTCATTTTTAAGGGTCAAGAGGTCATGTATCCATGCTAAAGCAAAAGCTTCTGGCATATTTCAAGCAACAAAAAATAGATTTAAAGGCTAAAAAAAGAAGATATACTTAAAATATGCACTTTCACCAATGAGGTTGGTAGAGCTTTCTTTTTAATTAGAAACGATAAACACTCCAACATGACATGCCTCTTCTAAACACCTTTTGGCTATTAAGACCACCACTCCACAATCAGGCCACATGCACACAGTCAAGTCTTACCTTGGTCAGATGGTTCTTAAGGTGCAGGAGGTTCAGGAGGTCTGCAGCCTGCAGAGGTTTCCCACTGAAGAACAAAGCGTGTTTCCATTCCTCCAGCTGATCTGAGTCTCTCACAACGACAAGCATTGTGTTACATCAACATCTCTTTCTTTACACACACACACACATATATATACACCCTCGTGCCTCTTTTTTCCTCATTCCTGATCATTATGTGCCTTTTTGAGCACGAGGGCCCTGGGAAAGAAGAAGAGGCGAGAATTGCTGCAGCAAGTGACGGGATCAGAGAAAATTATAGACAATTTAACATCTCCAGATTAGAATAATGACTCGTGGAGTTGGACAGACAGACTATAGGAGCTTTCAAACGAAGAAGATGGGGGGGGGGGGGGGGGGGCAATTATCATGCAGGCAGACTGAAGGGAAAGTGAAAAGGCTTCTCGTGTAATAGACAAGCTAAGAGGAGGGGACGGAAGCCTGCGAGATGGTTCGAAGTGAAAAAGGCGAGTGTGACTGTATCAATGCTGTGGAGTTATCAGATACGAGGGGTCTGATGGGGTTTAATAGCTGGATAGCAGTGAGAGGGGAAAATAGTGTGTTATTAAAATCCTGCTTTCTTTGAATTGGGCAAAATGGCAAAGCAGGTCTCCGGGGTGATTATTGTTATTAACGTGAGTGATCTGACATCTCGGGTAATTGTGAGCAGCTTCAACGTTAGCGAGAATGAGGGGGCATGCAGGGTTGTGTTTCATCTGAATCAAGGCTAGTTTGAGGCATAATGATGCAAACGCTGACATTACCTTCAAAACACTGAACTTTATCTTATCCCATGTGGTCAACTATCGACGCGGTCTAACGGTCTTTGGGTGTTATAATTAGACGCCCAAGCTTCAGTCAGGCAATTAAAAATGTGTTAAAGCAAAAGATACACCTTTTTTATAAATTGGTCTTAGAGAAAATGATGCATCTGAAGAAATGCTCATTTGGGGAGTGATGGGAGACAACAACAAAACTGAGATAAGGTCAAAAACTGGATTGACTTTGAACATTTGTCATATTCACGTCAAATACTGACGATTTGTTGTCCTTTGAAGGTGCACACACATAGAACCCCCCCCCCCACACACACACACACACACGCACGCATGCACGCGCGCGCGCACACACACAACATCGCTTGGCCTTCTTTGGCATCACATTAAGACGCACAAAGATATTATCAGTAAGACAGCAAGGCACACAGAATTTTTGAAACAGACAATGTATTGTAAAAAGTGAAGGTGCACAATTTAAACAAAGGAAGTTCATGTCAGTTGTGTAAAATAACTCAAATCAAAATCCTGAGTGAAAAAAGTAAAAAAAAAAAAAAAAAAAAAAAAAGGGTTTTTCTATTCCCGTGTCTAGTGATAAACTGTATGTTCAGTTTTTAGGTGAGCTCATCACTGTGCCCTCGCCATGGGAAAGGTTCTGTATTCTAATGTGATGACTGGCTGTGAAGCATCAGCACACAGCCTACTGTGGCCCCTAGTCCCTTGGTCTGAGTTCAAACAGGGTTCAGAAGTCCGCAGCTGTCAAAGATTCCTCTCTCCCTTCATTTCATCCCAGTTTACTTCAAAATGGAGACAGTGAGTGATCCTAATGCAGCCAAGGCCCGACCCACAGGCCCGGACCGGACAGAGAGCTAGACAGCTGCTGGGGTTCTTTCTGTAGATGCATTTCAGTTCCCGACCTCCACCTAAACCCACCCCAGAGACAAGTGCCGACACTACCGTGTTGACTGCTTCAGGCGGGCCTGGGCAGAGTCTCTATTTATGGTGCATGCCATGCAGGATCACATTCAAGTTCAACAGTTCACCTGCACCTCCATGGCTACTTACACTTGTTAATGTTTTCAGACAACATATATGGACACACAGACACAAGTGCAGCCTGCGAGAATCACACATTTGTCTTCGGCAACAAATGTTTCCCCCCTGACAGCCAAGACTGAGGGCCACACACGCTGAGGGAGCCCCAGAGGGGGGGTCACATGTCCACTTGATGAGATTTCATTGATATTAAAAGGCAATAGTAATCTGGCTGCTTTTGTCAAATCAGCACAGTGAGCTGACGCGATGAGTGAGGCTGCAGACAGCTGGAGTTCTGTTTAGGGGGATAAAGCAAAAGGAAGACATCGGAGGAGGGGGATTCAAAGCTGTGGCATTTGAGTTTGTACGGAGAATGAGTGAGAATATGTGTGGAGTTTGGTTAATATATTTGAAGTTGTGTAAGAATTTAGTTCTGATATATAAAATGTGACTGTCACGGTTTGGTTAAATGTGACGAGGAGAACAAAAACATAATTTATTTGGCAGGTCTTTTAAATAAAATACTTAAACACTTCCATCCAAAATAAAAGTTGAATAATATTATTTAAAAAAGTAATTACATGGGGAATAAAAAAAATATTTAAACTGTCAGCCCAGACAATATGGCTAATCCAGAAGTCCAACTGTAGAAATACACATTAGTCAATGTTATCATTTAAATAAAACGTTGAAAGCTTTTCCAGATTTTGAAGCTTTTATGGTGATGTATTGAATAATAATAATAATAAAAAAATGTAATAATAATAATACAATATAAAAAAGCGTGGCTGTAGCTGAAAGAGAATGCTTTCCAATAACGGCGTACATGTGTAATTTAAAATGATCTTTATTAACTGAAAAGGAAAATTTGGTTTGAAAAAAAAGTAATTTATTAATTTATGAAAAAATGTAAAATCCAGTGATATCCCCGCATATTGTTCCAACACATTTTTACCGCCATAGAAGCCAAAACACGTTTAAGTATCGTCCTGAACAGACATCTAAGGTACTCCGTGGGAGTGTGTGATGTAAACATGAGGCTGTAATGTCGTTAAACGATTGTTAAAAAAAGACAAAAGTTGCAGTAAAGTATGGGGCAGTATATCACCTCTTGTCCTGAACGCATACCAGTGCTATGACAACAAAGCATTATGAAAGCGCTGAGGCGGACATGGCTACATTTTCTCTCCGTGCGTAATTACGCCTTGGTGGTCCATGTGGAGGGTATCGCCATTAGCGCTTTTCTCCATCATGTACATTTTGTGCAGAATATTTAATAAGTTGAATTCACGCTGTCAGTCGTTATTAGCTGTGAACACGCAGAACAGGGAGGTTGTTGTTTTGTTCCTGCCTGTCTCATTGTCGCTGTCATAACAGTCATTATCGGAGCAGTTGTCATGTTTATGCAGCACCTCTCCGCTAATTGATAAGGCTGTTTATTCCCCAGGTCTCACACGTGTCACATACGCTCTCATTAAGCTGTTTCATCACCTGGGAGCACCGTTATACTACAGCGAAGGAAAATATGTAAATGTGTGAAACATTTCCTGTTAAAAATGTATAAATACAAACATATAAACGCGTAAATAAATGCAGCCTCTGCGCATTTATTTAGGAGAACTACTTTTCCAAATGCAATGGAGTGAAATTTGCACTGAAACACTGGAAAAGTACAAAGAGCTTGTGTTTTTTTATACCTTCAATATTTGGCAGAGTTTCCATATATCCTGCTGCGCATGTGAATGTGCGCGTGCACGAGAGCCCCCACGGCAACAGACTGCACCCCCCCCCTTCATCCCCCGCCCTCTTTTATATGTGTGTGTGTGTGTTGTGTGAGAGAGTGTAGTGCGCTTACTTCTCTCTTATCTGGCAGCAGAATAGTAATAAAACCGAGTGACTCCAACATGTCTGATGCTGTGTTGCCTCCTACGTCGCGCTTTGCACGCAGCCCGCGGCACCATCAGAGAGGAGTCACTTCTCCAAACAGAGACTGAAGAGGGTTCCTTTATTGTCTCGGTTATTATCATAAATAACGATTTCAAACTTGTGGATAATGGAGATATATTAATATATATATTAAGAATATGTTGCAGATCGTTTAACAGCTTAGTTTCTTGAAAACAGGCTCAACCTCAGCATTTATCATTATTTTTAATATCTGAACTAACAATGTAAAACTAAGATCACGTACTCAGTGTTAGACCTAAAGATGTGCGAATTATAATTCAATATTTATTATAAACGAGAGGTGTGTTTTCTGTAAAATATTCAAATTACGCTGTTTTCAGTTCAACCTGTGGGCAAAATATATTTTCAACATTGGCTAAGTTTTTTCTTGCATACCGAAAATAAATCCTGCAATGTTCAAAACGTTTAAGAGAAAGGGGCTTAGCCTTCATATAAACTTTAATTTATTTATCTGCACATTTTGTCCTGCATCTCCAAAAACAGTGAACTTAATCCAGTTTATAAAGAGTTGATAAAGGGGCTAGACACACAACCTGCAAGTAACACCTTTATTCAATAGACAATAATGCAACAAGTGGACTAATTACATGAAGATGAAAATGATTTTGGAAGCACCAAAGTGCAGTCGTTCCGTTTCAAACAAAAAATGATCATAGTGGTTCTGCATATAAACACATATTTACAGCCTTCGACGGTTTGTACAAATCCATATAAATATGACCTGAGTGTTGCTGACGCGCTCTTTATGCATGATTTAAGTGTAGCATGGATCAACTGCACAGTTTCTTTTTTCAATATTCGCTTTGTGATTATGCTACTTGTTAAAAAAAAAACTTTGCATATTCATTTACAAAAAGAGTTAAGGAAATACAACAGAAGCGATAAATAATTTAAAAACCACGCCAGATTTCCGTTAAATATGCTGCCACAAGTGATTGGAAATCCCTCATGTGCTTTTGAATGGAAACCGAGTTCTGTTGCTCATCCAAAAAGCGGGCGCAATGTTCCACTTCGGGCCTGCTCCAGGTCGAGGTAACCTTCGCTCTGCAGAGTCTTTGTGGAGAGACCTCGTTTGAATGAGGAGATGAATCTGTTTGGGAGTCAGAGTTAATAAACAGCTCCTACACTCTGCTGTGGGACCGGGTGGTGCACGGTGCCCGGGTGCTGTAGATGGGATCCCTGCTGGTACCAGTGGTTGTTATAATCCTCCAGGTAAGGCGGCGACGAGCTGTGCGCAGGCTGCGGGACCTGAGGTCTGCTGATCGGGGTGTTCTGCTGGTTGCTGTTCTCCCACACTGCGGGGGACGGGGGGGAGTTGCAGGCCATGGAGTCGCTGGCGTTGGGACTGTGCTCCAGAGGGACCTCGCCGTTTTTGTACAGTTTCTTGAACTTAGATCTCCGGTTCTGGAACCAGATCTTCACCTGAGAGGATGAATGTGGTCATTATTGTGAAATCAAAAATTAAACGTGAAGTCATATTTAATATTTAACACGTAGAAAAAAATAAAAAAAGATATTGAACTAAGAAAATACGTCATTTAATTGATTTCATAAAGTCAATGAAAAAGAGAGTTAAGTAATCCAGTGTCAGTCCTGCGTAATTTCAGCCGGAAGAATAATTACAGTGCTAATTGATGCCCATATTTGGAAGACTTAAAATCACAGGACTCCCCAGTTTCTATCAATTAGTTATTATTATATGTTAAACCGGCTCGTGAGGCTCACCTGTGTCTGGGTGAGGCCGAGCTGCGCCGCGAGCTCCGCTCTCTCGGGCAGCGCGAGGTACTGCGCCTTCTGGAAGCGTCTCTGCAGAGCAGCGAGCTGGTAGCTGGAGTAGATCGTCCTCGGCTTGCGAATCTTTTTCGGTTTTCCATTCACCATGCGGACTTCTGGCTCTGGCTCTTCTTTCACTAAAAAAAAAAAAATCACAACAGAGTATTTGTTAATGTTAATGTTAATAAAAACTGAAGCAGTTAACTTAAAGGATTAGAGAATAAGAAAATTAAATGACGCGACTGCAACACAATATAGAATAAGATGATTTATGGAGATTCTGTCCTCTTCAAAAATACATAAAAGGTGAATAATTAAAAACATTGTTGTCATAATATTGTGATGAAACAACTTCTTAACTTCTTAAAAAAAACAACACAAGATGCTTTCTTATTTCAAAAACACTTAAGTCTCAAAGCTGAAATCAAAGCTCAAATAGTCATTTAGGATTATTTTATGTTGTCAAAGTTCCTGTTTGGCAGGCCAGTGGCAACATGTTAAAACTGATCGAGCGAATATTATTAGCTTTAATCAAAGCATCATTGTTTTATGACCAGCTGTTAATGGCTGGCTCCTTCCCAGGCGGGCTGTAAAAGCTCGACATTAACACCAGTCAACACAACAGCCACTAAGACAATGTCGGGGATATGTGTTTTCTTCATCTGCGAATAAATAAATACATGTGTGTAAGATGGCGCGTGAGGATTACCCTGGTCCTTTAGGGTCACATTTTGGGAGACTTACAATGTGTAGCCTGCGATGCGTTTAGTTTGACTTCAGTTAGCATTTCATTCAGCACATGTAATGTCTCAAAACATTTCCATATATTTCCTTGTATTTCTTTAAAAACTCTATATAACGAAAATATCATGATTGTTAACCTCATACGGGCTCTCTATAGGACTATCTGTGTTTTACTTAATGTACACAGGGCACTAATCACACGTAGAAAAAAAAAGTAAATTTAAGGTGATGATCCAAACATTTACCTGAGGTGGGAGGGGAGGCCTGCAGGTGATCTCTGTTGTAATGTCCGAACTGTCTATAGCTGTTTGTGTACGGATATTCAGATTTGGTGGCGTACGCTCCAGCGGTTCCCATTCCGTTCAGGTTAAACTGGTGATGGTAAGAGTTCATGGACTGTCCGTACGCCTGACTCTGATAGTACTCGTGCTGCCCGTGCGCCGCCTGTCCGCTGTAGTAGCCCATGTCCGTCACCGAGGACTCCGGTAGAGTTGGCGAGTCCTTGGAGTTCGGGTGGCAACTCATAGATCCTGGTAGGTCGGTCAAAATACATGCAATCTTCTTCTCATATGTCTGTCCGCTGCTCATGATGAAAGCAGCCCTCCAAAATTAAAACAAAATCCACTCGGGATTATTCTTTTTCTGGTGCGTAAAAGCAGAAAATGCGCCAAAGAAACTGGTTTGTGTGCGTTAAGACGCACGACTTTCGAAGAGTTGATAGTCCACTGAAACTCTCCGTGCTGCAGAAAATTGGTTGTGGCATCGCTCAGCCCCTGTCACACAGAGTTATAGACAGAATGGGCTGGATGCTGCTTTCTCATTGGCTGCGCAGCCCCCCCCCCTTCTTGCGCTCCAGGCAAAATCGTGGTATAACCCAGCCTGTAGCCAAGAGCGCCATGCACGCATACCTCACTGCCCTGGCGTTTTGTGCGTTTCCCTATAGATTTGCATTTACCTGTTCACTACATTTACCTGTTCACTGCTGGACTGTCGGTCTGTAAACCACTGGTGGTCTCAGCGTCTCTGCGTCTTCTCCACACTGGCACCAACACAGTTATGTTTGAACACAAAAGCAACATGAAGCTTATTGAAGCAGTCCCCCGACCTTACATGTGTGTATGCAATGTTTTCTTAACAGTGCTTAGAGATCACACTGTATTCAGGCTATTGAAAGGCCGCCAGCCGGACTCCCACTGACCCCCCCCCCCCCCCCCCCCATTGTCATTCAAAGGTGTTGGCGCACAGTTAACTTTACGTGAAAGAGATAGAACAGATAGGTAAAAGACCCGACCAACTGATATCGCCTGAGGGAGAATTCCTCCACACACACGCACACACGCACACACGCACACACACACCCGCACACACGCACACACACGCACACACGCACACACACACACACGCACACACACACACATGTTAATTCGAATAACACTGTTAGATATAATAATGAATAAAAACCATAACTGCAGACAGAGTGGAAGCCAAAACTGTTTTTGAATCCATATTACTTGATGTTTTTTGAATATTTAGTTGTCAATAGGAGAAAATATTGCATCTCTTGTCATTTGAACTGGGAGCCTCTTCACTCAAAATTTTTTCTGCTGTTCGAGCAATGTCGTATAAAAACACGGTGAACAGCGCCCCCTGCTGTTTTCACCCACATGTGGAACTCTAGTTTTCTGCTTGCTGATCAGATAAATGCAGCTTCACACAGATGAATGAGTGTCAGGCTGTGTTATCTGACTGGAGTTAATGCATTATATTGTTGAACTAACATTTCTCTTAGATCAAAAGCTCAAGCTTCTGTAGTGAAACCTCTGGTGGTATTACATGAAGGCTGTGTGGATCATTGTGACTGAGCAGATAGCGCCCTCTTTTGGTTTGTCTCTGCAATACAGAGACAGGACAGTGGAAAGAGTCAGAAATTGGGAAGAGAGAGTGGGGACTGTGAGAAAGACTTGCGGGGAGTTATAGTCTATGGGAAGAAGCCGCTGGTCGGATTCGTATGGCAAGGCCAAAGAGACAAATATCATCAATCGCAAAGTGTTTTGCTTATGTTATAATGTATAAATAATCTTGTTTTAATTAATTTTCAATGCCAACAAATACAGTTCTCTGCTTCTTTTTGGTTTTTTATTTAATTTTTATTTTCAATATTTTTCAACTTATACAAAAGTATTCAAAGAATTATGAAAACGCAGACTTTTATCGTGTTTTGCATCTCAGGCTCATTTTGCCCCTTCTGCTGTTTTGCATATCCGGTAGCCTAAATAAAAACTTTCAGTAGGCTAACAAATCACACGAGGAAAACCAAATCAATGCATCCACGAACACAATGAGTAGTGCATCAGCTGTAAATCTGTGTTGTCTTTCTGAACTGTGCACTCTACAGGGGACATTTACCTAAAGCAAAACACAAAATGTATAAGAACAAATAAAGAAGATAATACCTTTGACCTTTCCTCAACACAAACTGTTACTGTTGAGATTAACTAAAGTAAAGTCTTTGGTCAATATATATTTCACTTACTGTAACTGCAAATCAAAATTTTAAATGCACATAATCTTAAACTTAAACAAGAGTGTTTGCACAAGTTGTTCTTGCTTTGTTAGCATTTCGGATTCTAAAAGTAACCCAGGACCTTTCAGGTCATATGATCTCTGAAGCTGAAGAAGTTTCCTTTCATCGCCTTACAGCTGTACACTCATAAAGATCTGCTGAATAGTTCAGTTTTAACATGAGACAATACAGAGAGAGTGAATTATATACTGTAACATCGCACCTGTCTTTAGAATGATAACACCTTTAATATACAAATACATTAAATGTTGATTAAGATCTTGTACAATGGTTTAAGACTATTTGAGCCATTTGTTGTGGGCTGAACACATTTGTACGGTGGCCGGTAGGGGTCAAACGCTCAGCAACTGATGAAATGACATACATATAGAAAAACGTGCAGCATATATAGAAATGCTGCACATTCAAAAGCAAATGCAAACTACCACAACAAATGCAAAGGCTGAAACACGGTACAAAAGAAAAAAACGCGCTGCAAATAGGCAAAACAACTGCATAAGCAGTTCGCTAAGGCTATGCCCCACTTTCTATCGTAGGCAAACACGACTTTATAACATGTAGGGGGGAAAAACACAAGTTTGAGAAATGAGGTCTCGTTGAGCGGTAGTTTTGCTAAGTTGGCTGCCCGGCTACCGGCACCGTTGCCCGGCTTGAGTAGGCTACGGGACTTCCGTCTGCCAGGATTTTGAACTTGTCAGGCCCGGGGCAGAGGGCTCTCCGTGGGTGAAGTGTCAGTGTTTGATGACAGGGAGAATGTTAAACTGTAGCAAAGAGATGAAGCGAGTTCAACACGGACTCCGGGGATGGCGAAAGCATGAAGTGTCAGGCTGGTAAAACGCAGAGGGATGAGTTGGAGCTGGAGCTCATAGCCCCAGAGCTAGCACTAGCTCCAGGCATCCCGGGGCTGCAGCCACAGACCCACACTCGGTTCTCATCCCTGATGTCAAAATCCTGGTCAGACTCGCTTTAATCTCCACATTTCAGTAACATTGAAGTTATCCTGTGTCTTTCAACGATACAACTTCTCTATCTAAACATAACTTTCTGTTCCTAGCTGTCTGTATTACTCTCTCACGTAAATAAACCACAGCACCCCTACAGGCCTGGAGCACTTCCATTTAAGGCTGAACTTGCAGCGTTTCTGTGTTTGCTGTTGTTTTCTGGTTGTGTGTGTTTTGACTTAAGTTTCATTTCTGTACTTGCAGCACATTTGATGCTTATGCAGTTGTTTTGCCTATTTGCAGCGCGTTTTTGTCTTTGCAGAGCGTTTCAGCCTTTGCATTCGTTGTGGTAGTTTGCATTTGCTTTTGAAAGTGCAGTGTTTCTATATATGCTGCACGTTTTTCTAAATGTGTGTCGTTTCATCAGTTGCTGAGCGTTTGACCCCTACTGGCCACCGTACATTTGGGCTTCTGCAGCAGAAAGTTTTATCCAATAAAAAAGTATCATTAGTTTGTGAACATACAGTAGTGTAGTGGTGCCTTGAGAAGTTATACTCTTAATTTTCCCCCTAAATGTTTTTTTTATCTTTAAGTGAACCGTCAGGCAGAGAAGAAACGGCCTCTGTTATGAAAAGTTACATTTAAGACTTCTGTTGCATATTTAGTCAGTGCGTACAAGCCAATGAGAGACAGAGTAGGGAGGGTCATCCCTTCACCATCCTAAACATTGCAGCATGCATCATGCCAATCAATAGTGTGAATCAGAGGAGATTTAGAAGTGGGTATAGAGAGTGGGAGACTGAAAAATAAGTAGGCTAGATATACTCGGTATACCTGCACACCACTGACCACACCTGCCAACTAGACTCATTCCGTCCTTTACAAACTTTAAAACTAGTCAGTATTTGTGTTACATGATGCTCCACTTTGACTGCCAACATTTGACTATATTCGATGTGACATTTAGAGGAAAAAGGTTTTTTAGTCAAGGAAGCTTTTAAACATCTTTTCCTCCATAAGTGTGTGTTATCTGAAGTACATACTGGACCACTTGCATCCAGACAGTCAGTCAGTAGGCTTCAGTATATCCAAGCATGTCTGAGAGACAGTGCATGTCTTAAGATGTACATTTTCATTTTCTTGTACATCAAGTCGTCAAGCCTTGTTCTTTAAACTGCTGTAAAATGGCAGAAGAAACACACAGACATGACACATACACACACGCCTCTGCTGTACACATGAGATTTGCATTAATCAGACTATATAGAAATGTTGCCTTTGTATGAGTAGATCTCACACACACACACACACACACACACATTAGTCGCTTGTTTCCCTTTGCAGTTTCAAAGTGACGTTGTTATTAAATTGTAGTATCACAAAACATCCAGTAGATGGTGCTAACATCTCAGATTTCAGTATGGTGGTGAGTTAAAGAAAAGCTCACCCTAATGTATACACACACCAAAAGGTAAAACTGTATGAAAATAAAAGATAAGCAATTAACTCATTGAGTTTGATGGAGAATATAAACATATATATTTATATTTATATATATACTTATACTTAGAGGAAATGTGGTTCAGAGTCAGATGTAGATTATTGTCTGTAAGATTTAAACATGTAAATGACATCAGTCTTAGGGCCTCATTCAAGTTTTTTTTTTATGCTATAGAAGATGTGATTTATATCTTTGTGTGAAAATCCATCTTGTGCCGGGTCAGATGAGCTCTCTGTACACCACCAATCAAACCCTCACAACACAGAAACACGAGACAGCTTTTTGTGCTTCTGTAATGCAGTGTGTAAAAGTGGAGCAGCTGGCCTGGTTCCAGCACAGGACAAAAGCTTGGGCCTCGCGCACAGAAACCAGTAATTACTACAGAATCTCAGTCTGCTCTGATCGCTCTTGAGGTAAGAAAAAAAAAAAAATCTCCCTTTTGTACTATACATTACAAATGAAGCCATTTCCCTCCGAGAAGTAATTTACTTCCCATTTTCAACTTCTCAAATCTCCCTGAGAGTCATCAGAGTGATTACGGGAGCCCCTTAAGGCCAAAAAGAGCACAGCAGAAATGACGCACAAGAGGGAATCACACACAAACTAGTCTGGTCATTTTCTCAGGACCTTGATTAAAGGAAAATAGATGTTTGTGCTAAAAAAAAAAGTTACACTTTAAATACAAGATGTGGTTCTTTCTGTGCTT